TTATTTTGATCCGATCTATAATAATAATAATAATAATAATAATAATAATAATAATAATAATAATAATAATAAAATGAACAAATTTGCAGTTCATTTGATGCATAACTAGTACGTAGCCCGTGCAATGCACGTGACAATAATTATAATTGCATACAATAAAGCAATGAAAGAACATTGATTATTATAAAAATAGTTTTGAATATTAATAATTTTTTTTTATTTTATGATGTATAATAATTTATTTTATGATAGATATTTACTTCACTCGTTATAAAATAACTGTCATTTTATATCTTGTTCATACTTAAGGAAAATGAAATTTTAACGTATTCAAATATCATCAATAAATAATACTCACAAAATATTTCTCTTCATCTATCTTCTCTTACTCATACCTTATTACAATATATTATTTCGATTTTCAAATAGGTTAGATTGAAGTTGAAAAAAATTGTGAAAAATATTATAACCAATATTTATTTGAAAAAGACTGTAATATATTTTGAAGTTAAAAAGAATTATTAATTTTAATTACATCAATATTTTTTTTTTGTAATTTATAATATTATAAATATTTTAATTTTTCTTTCAAATCTATTAATATCAGATTTGTTATGATATTGTAAATCGTAATAAGAATTTTTACAAAATTACTTACTTTTGTATAGTTATTGATAAAATCAAATGATATTTCTGAACCAAGGTTTTAAATAGCGGGCTAAAACGTTTATGACACTGTAGCTATAGCGGAGCTATAGCGAAGATTTAGCGGGATTTAGCGGCTAAATTGCACGTGAATACAAATAGCGGCACGCTGCCAAAAAAGCGAGCTATTTATTTCCTTGTTCTGAACTCATTGAATATATGATTTTTATAAATGGCTTGTTACTAAATGAATAGAAAAATCGTAGGGATTTGTTATTAATGTTGTGATATCAATTTTATTATATTATTGTGGTAGTTATATCAATAAAATTTTTGCAATCGACTTTTAAATTTATTTTATACTTATATTTTGCAGTGTTCTCACGCATTTTTCGGTCTAAATGTAGTTGGATACCCAACAACAGGACGGGAGAACACATGCATGATTTGTTAGTAAAGATACATATTGACTTGTTATTAATGATAAATAGTTAAATTTCTTTTGATGTTAATTTAGTTTATAATTTTTGTAAAACTGAAATAGTTGGGTTATTGTTAAATCAAAAAATTATAAATTAATCTTCTTGATTGAATGATTTTTTGAATATACGACAAGAAATACTTGGTAAATGGTTGGTTACCGGATGAATAAGAAATCACTTTGATTTGTTACTAATGTTAATAAATAAGATTCAATTGTAACATTGTGATAAATATCATAATAATATTTTCATAATTGTTTTTATTTTTTATTTTGTAAATATATATGCAATCTTATCATGCATATTCAAATAATATTTTCTAAAAGCAAAAAATATATTTAGCAGGTGTTTTTTGAAGACATGTTGTGTGATTGGTTACCAAAATAATAAGAAATCAAAGTGATTACTAATAAATATGAAGAATCAAATTTTTATTGCCATAATTATCTTGAAATAATTTTCAAAATTGATATAACTTTATTTATATAAAAAGTCACGCTATTAATCGGATTGCACGAATTACAACATGTATCTATAATTTTATTTTTATTTCTAGTAATATTAAAGTAATTTTTACTATATATATTTTAATAGTAATGCTATGTGTACATAATAAATGTACATAGAGTTGTACATAACACTCAAATTGAGTGGGGTCCATTTAATTTTTAATTTTTGGTGGGTCTCACTCAATGTGAGTGTTATGTACACTCCTAGTACAATATTATGTTACATATAGCATTACTCATCTTTTAATAGTAATTCAACTTATTCAATTACAAAGTCAAAATAGTCAAAGTTACTAGTTTAGATTTTTTTATTTTTTTTTTATACCGAGGTTCCAGGCTTGCGCCTGACTATTCCTTGAGGAAACAGCCTCTGGCCCCTCAGAAACTGTCTCCAGTCAAATCGCGGTAGCCACGCAATGACTCCCAAGTTCCTAACACCTTCAACTACCGCGCACAAGGAGTCGATCCCCAATTGATTGATCGTTGACCCTCCCAGCTCCAAGTTGGCCCCACCTATCCAGCCGCAGGGTCTCACCAAAGTGGTTGTTTCATGGTGCCCCCAACTTCATGTTGGCCCCACCTATCCAGCCACTGGTTCCCACCGAATTTCAATCTCTCAGACTACCGCTTGTAGTCCTCAGTATTAATTGTTGCACCATCTGCGCTCCGGAGGATTTGAACCCATGACCTCTGGTCATGTGTACCTCACTCTTAACCATAGGCTAAGAGGCAATTGGCTACTAGTTTAGATTATTCCTTTCAATATAGAGATACATATATAAATAAAGATTGGTCCCCGGCTTTGTGCTAAATGCTAATGTGCCAGTTTGGGTGTTGCCATGTAATTATTTGCTGCTTAAAATAATATTTCAAACTTTGCAAATTAATCTAGCCAAAATTAGCCAAATTTTTTAATACCTGATATCATAATCTCATTCATTATCCTTTTGAATTATTCCCTAAATTAACTCCTTCCAATATAGAAATTATTCAACGTTGTATTACGCTCAAAATGAACCTACCCACAATCCAAAACCACTATAAAATGCATATCTCCACAGAAAACATTACACTACATCTGAAAAAAAAAGGTTGAAATTTTAAGAAAACAAAAATGGAGAAGAAATTTGTATTCTTGGCATGGATTTTAGTCCAAATCAGCATGTCAATCTTACCAACACAATCAAAGTACTACTCCGAAAGTGTACCGTACAAACCCCCCGCCGAGAAAGTAACCCACCTCCGCTTCTACCTCCACGACATCCTGAGCGGGAAAAATCCGACCGCCGTCAAAATTGCCGGAGCAAACACCACCGCCAGAGGCGGCCCAACGCCGTTCGGCGACACGCTGGCCATCGACGACCCGCTCACGGAGGGCCCGGAGACCAAGTCGAGGGTGGTGGGGAACGCACGTGGGATTTACGTATCGTCGAGCCAAGGCGAGAAGCCGACACTTGTACTGTACGTCGACTTAGGGTTCACGTCCGGTAAATTCAATGGGAGCTCGTTGAGCGTTTTCTCCCGGAATCCGATAACCGAGACAAACCGTGAGTTGGCAGTGGTCGGGGGGAGGGGTCAGTTCCGATTCGCGAAGGGTTTTGTGCTCGTGAAAACTCACTCGCTCGATACAATTAGCGGTGATGCTGTGCTCGAATACAACGTTGAGGTCGTGCATTATTGAGGGGGTTATTGGTATTGTTATTTTTAGTAGTGTCGTATGTGTATTTGCACGTATGCGTAATAAAATGTTACTAGTACACACGTGATTACATGAGTGCTAGTTAAAAAATAACTTTAATATTACTTTATCGTGTATCACACAGGAAATACACTAATCTAATTTATGTAGTTAGTTATAGAACATAAGTGCATGAAATCAAAACATCTATATATATAAAATATATAAAGGTTTGATTATTTTTCAATAGTAACTATTTCCCTAAAAAAAATATTTATTATTTTGGGCAATTACTTTAACAATTTATGGTATATATCAAATGATCACTTATGGATATTGCGGCTCATTATTTAAGTAAGTAATTATACCATATTTTAAGATACCTTAATTACTCAAATCACGTGAATTAATTAATATATGGTATAAAGTGGACGAATTTATTTTTGGTATTGATGGTTATTCCAATAAGAAATAAATTAATCAATATATAGTATAAAGTGAGCACATTTATTCAGGCTATTTGATGAATGTTTTTTGGTAGGAAATTTGTTGAAAAATTCATCAATATACGGTGTTTTATTTATTTATTTATTTAGTTTTTTGTAAGACCAATATTGGTTTATAGACGATTACCGTAACTCCCACAAAAGAATATGAATAGATATTTTGATATAATGTGCGTGTATCGATGTTTTTTTCATAGAAAAAACTATAGTCAATTTTTTTTGGGTATAATTTGTAGGTCTCGATTTAATTCATTTTTGTTACAACATTTTAAATAATTTTTGTACGAAATGCACTGTTCATTTTTTTTAGCATGATAAGGAGTGTCAAATTTTTATTTTTATTTTTTTGCATAAAAAACCTTATTCAACTACTTAAATATTTTGATTTAGATATTTTATACAAACATAAATTCATAATAATTAAAGAAACAATATAAGTTTTATCTTTGCACTTATTATTCAAAAAAGTTTTTAAATATATGATAAAATATTACTAAAATAATTATTTTATGGAATCACGTTATAGTCAAATTGAATTTTTGAACAAAAATTTTGAGATGACACATATTCTTATGAATATAATATAATTCATTATCAGTTATGTGCCATGCACGGGTTGTGTACTAATTTTAAATAGACGACATTTTATGTAATTTTGCACAATTTAAATTTTATATATAATTTTTAATAAATTAATATAGTACGTTGTATTACATATTAATTCCATGTTTTAAATTTATAATATTATTTAATAAAAAAATTTAATTTATAAAAATTAATAATATTTCTACCCGTGCATCGCACGGACTTTGTACTAGTATCAATGTATATATATATATA